TTTTAAAATTACGGTTTTTTACTCAAATATACATAAAAAGATTGTAAATATGGTTTTACCGAAAAAAAAAGATTGCAAATATGAATTGAATCTTATAGGTTTAGGGTAATTATAAGAGTAATAATATAGTTTTTAAAATACAAATTTGGATTGAATTAATTGGTCACAAATCGTTTTAGTTGCTATCCTAATATAAAATTTAAATCTATCTTAGTAGAAATCTAAAACTCATTTTATATATATAAATTTTGCAATTATTTAATATAAAAATATGTTCCACCCATGATATAATTTTTAAAAGTAGATTTTTAATTTCTTAGTCATTATATATAACTTATTAATAAAATGTATTTGTTTGATATCATAATCTTTAAAGATACGGTGATTCAAATATACAAATGAAAAATTGCAAATATAAATTGAATCAGGTTAGAGTAATAATATAGTTTTAAATAATTTAATGGTAATCATTAATATTACAATCTTTGAATAATTGTTTCAGGCAAATTTATAAATTTTCTAATGTGTTTGGCAATTAGGATTAGAGTAAATCAGAATAAATTATTTGAAATTAAATATGTTTGGTAATGAGTATAAAATCATTAAAAAAAGTAAGATTGAGAAACTTTGAGAGTTTGACTCTAAGCAAAATGATTCAAGAATATTTCTTCTTTAATATATAAAGGATTAACATTTTCAAATTTAAATTTAATAAAATTAATTATGTTTGGCTATAGAGATTGTATCATGAGGAGTGTTTGGCTATTAGAATAGTAGGAGATAATTATTATAGGATTTAATTATTACAAAAAAATGAGGAAATTTGTGGGATTGACACCTAAGCAAAAGTAGTTTAAAATGCTTCTCTTTTAATATATAGAGGATAAAGATGCACACATATTTATTCACAATTTGTGTAATAAATACCACATTGTTGTAGATATTTTTACCCAAATGGAGATAAAAAAAAAACAATTGTGATCTTGTCTAGGAAAAAAAATGGTACATGGTTATGTATTAATCTATATTTAATAGCAAACAAAAAAAAATTGTTGTAAATAGAAAGAAAGAGAATGGGGAAATTCGTATCTTCTTTCATTAATCAAGTATCCTTTATATAAGGATCAATACATGTGATAAAAGGAAGTTTCCTTTTCCTAAGAGAAAAGGAAATTACTTTCCTTTTCCTAAGAGAAAAGGAAATTACCCTATGACTAAGTATAGATGGGCCGGACCGGGCTATACTGGACCAGAACTGGTTATGACAATCCACTATGATTTATAACA